TGCTACCTGTTTCTATAAATAATGTTTTCTTGTAACATAGCCCCACCCCTTTGTTTATGTACTATCACAGCTATTGTTGCCCTGCAGTGACAGAATGGAGTAGTTGTGATAGAGACAGAGTAACCTAAAAAGCTGAAAATATTTATTGTCTTGCCCTTTACAAAAAAAAAAAAAAAAAAAAAAATTGCCAAGTCCTGTTTTCAAAGATTATTTTAATAACACTTAGAATTAGGTTAAGTGGCTTTTCCATTTGAGAAGTGCTTGGGCCAATAGTTAGAAGCACAATGCTGGGCCCATGTTGTCCGGGTTCATATCCTCGAGGACTCCACCACTTAAGAGATATCTTAGGGCAACTTATTTAACATTTCCATGCCTCCATTGTCTCATTGTTAACAGGGAAAAAAATAACAGTATCATCCTCGTTATGAGGAAGATGTGATAGAGTCCATGGTGCACCTCCTAGATGTCCTCCTTCAGTAATAAATGACTTAGTCCTTGGGCTGCTGGGAGAGTTGCCAGGAGATGTCCTTCAGCAGCCAGCTGTGTTTGGGGACTGTTTGCTGGAGAAAATTGCCTCATTCAAAGCCACACTTCCTTCAAGGGACAGGTCACATCAATGACATATCCACATCAGTGAGGTGGTATAAAGTCCTGAGTCCCTTGTCCCAATTCAAGACAACTCCTGAGGGCCAATCCAGTTTCAAAGTTTCTCATGGATTGGCTGAGGCTTTTGTTGGTATTGGATCACAGCTCAGCTTTTCCCTCTGCCCAGTCCTGCATCTTCTTTCTTCCTTCCATGGGTGCTGATCCCAACACTTCTTCACAAGTATCCTACGTCCTACTCCATCTAGAAATATGGTTCCAGAGCATCTAACCCGAGACAGTGGTAAATGAGCCTTGTGTTGTAGAGCATCTGGCACGTGGTATATGCCATATAGCTGTTTGTTATCAAAGAATTCTGGAAGAAAGTAAAAGGGAAGTACAAGATCAAGAAGTAAAAAATAGAATAATATAAAGTTTCCCACAATTAAAGAATAGCTTAGTCACAAAAATTTTAAACGAATGACTGTAAGAAACTCTAACATATTTAAATTTCATCAAATACATTTAAAGTGTGGTGTAACAATTTTATTTATAATTTAAGTATTAAAAATGTACTATAAATCATATCCTTGAAGCTATGTAAGTTTATTATGACATTGTTAGATATAACCCCCCAAAATATACAAATAAGTATACTGATTTACACACTGATTTGGGAGTATACTTGAATACTTTTTGAAGACCACTAGTTTAAGATCTCTCACATTGGGACACCTGGGTGGGTTTGTCGGTTGAGCCTCCGGCTCTTGATCAAGGCTCAAGTCATGATCTCACAGTTCAAGAGATGGAGGTGGCTGGGTGCTGACAGCACACAGCCTGCTTGAGGTCCTCCCAGGTACAGACTGATTTTGTGCACGTGCAAATAAAGGGAGCTGGGATTAGCCAGTCACAGACTCCACAGCATGTTCCAATAGTAACTGAATTCCTTCTAAGGGCAGCCGTAAATAAGAAGGAAATCTGAGGCACCTGGGTGGCTCACTCAGTTAAGCCTCCAACTTCGGCTCAGGTCTTGATCTCACAGTCCATGAGTTCAAGCCCCACATTGAGCTCTGTCCTGACAGCTCAGAGCCTGGAGCCTGCTTCAGATTCTGTGTCTCCTTCTCTCTCTGCCCCTCCCCCATTCATTCCCGTCTCTCTATCTCTCTCTCAAAAATAAATAAATATTAAAAAAAAATTTTTTTTAAAGAAGGAAATCAGCAGTTCTTCAGCTGTTGTCCTTTGTTGGTTTAAAACCACAACACACAAATCCTATCCTGGATCGCCACACCATATGTAAAGGAACTTAGAAGGGTATCTTGTTAATGGCACAGAAGTTCAAATTAAAAAAGAAAACAAAAAACCATGAGACTGAACTATAGTAACTCTGGCATCCATTACAAAATGCACGTTTGATAGAAACGACTAGTGTAACCTCAGAGCAGTCTGTTAAGTTCTCTGACACATTATAATCTTCAAAAAATACAATGCACTCTCCCACTCAGTAAATATTTTTGAATGCATATCATATAGCAGGAGCTATAGGAAATCCAAAGTTCTACGCTACTCACAAGGAAATGCCATCTGCCATTTTCCAGATGGCAGGAAGGGAGAAGAGGAAGTGAATGGCAAGAAGCTTCTCTTCCAAGGGACCCAGTCCAGTTTTACTAACAAGGAACACCGTTTGGTGAAAAAGGAGAATTGACTTCCAAGTAGAATGCGAAAAGTGTCACTTATTCCTATTGGGATTTTAGAGTGCAAGAAACTGGTGGCAACACACTTTCACAAAGGCTTAGATGGAAAAGGAAGGAGAGAAAAATATATTAGCTGGAGGACAGTGTAGAGAAAGGTATTGTTTTAGGATGTATTCAACAAATTTTTATTGAGCACATACCCTATGTTTTAGGCTCTAGAGATTAAGTAGAAAATAAAATAGATAGTGTCCCTGGGTATCAGGAAATAGGCTGAGCCACTATAACAAAACAGGTCTAAACAAACAGTAATTTTTAAGAGAACACAGTTTATTTTCTCTTGTGTAATGGTCCAGAAATCTATGGTTGATCCAAGGGAGGGGGTACCTCTGCTTTCCGAGTTAGGCTGGGACCTAGAGGAAGGGGACAGTTTTGTCTTCCTTAATACATGGCCTCCATTTCTATAGCATGTTTATTTTTTCCTATTTTCCAGACAGCTGGAAGGGAGAAAAGGAATGTAGATGTCAAGCAGCTTCTCTTTTAAGGGACATAATCCATTTCTACTTCCATCGCTTTGGTCACAAATTTTTTTTTTAGTGTTTATTATTCATTTTTGAGAGAGACAGAGTGTGAGGCGGAGAGAGGGACACAGAATCCGAAGCACGCTCCAGGCTCCAAGCTGTCAGCACATGAGATCATGACCTGAGCTGAAGCTGGAGGACCAACCAACTGAGCCACCCAGGTGCCCCCACAATTTTTGATATAACCATACTTAGCTGAAAGGGAGGACAAGGAATTCTTCTCTTTAATTAGGTCACCGAGTGCCTTGCTAACATTTGGCGGGGGGGGGGGGGGGGGGGGGGAGGTATAACAGAATGAAAACTGGTGATGTCGAGCATATATTCTGGAAGCAGAAGAGAACTATAGGCAAATAATGAGCAGTTTTGGTGGTGCGGTGACATGAAGGCCTGCGAGGAGTGAATTCAGAGGAAAACAGGAAAATATAGGATTAGAGAGAGCCAGTATGGCCTTCTCCTTTGAGAAGAAAAATGGGAGCGACTTGAATACATGTTGAAAGTAAAAACAACAACAACAACAACAACAACAACAACAACAAAACAGTAGAAATAGGGACACACAGAAAAGAAGAAAATTGTCCCAGAAGAGGAGAAACATCTAGTCCCTCCTCTTCCTTTGTGTCAACTAGAAGAAGGAAAGAATGGGAGTGAATGATGATGTTGGGGGAAGGAGAGAGAAAATAGTAGAAGGCTGTGGGAAATCCCTACCAAATACCTTAAATTCTCCTTCTGAAGTAGGAAGCAACATCATCTCCTGACCATGAGGGGAGATGTTTTCCTTGGCTATGAATATGGTAGGAGTGGATAAGGAAGAGACTTGTATTGATCTGGTGTTTTGGGTCCAGGGCCTAAACCATTGAGAAGATTGGCAAGGTAGTGTTTGAGGTGATGAATCTTGTGGTATCTCCCCACAGCAGTACAGTACTTTCTCCAGCCTCCACTTCTCCAACAGCAGGAATGAAAAGGAGCCTCAGACCACTTCAGGCAATGCTCCTCCCAAACTCATCCTCTTGCCAAAACGATCTGCCTTGAAGATCATGGGGATTAAGCTCATTTTGCTATCTGTGCCAATCACTACAAGCCCCAAACCGCCCATTTTTAAGCATGGTTGCCAGATATCTCAAGGAAGCCTGTGTCAGATTTGTGACACTTGTGGCTGCACCATTCACTCAGTTATGGGAACCAGAAACCTAGAACCCATTCTGTCCCTCACTCATCTTATTCAACCCTCAAGCTCTGTTCATTCCATCTTCTAAATATTCCCCACACTTCTCTCCATTCCCACTCTCCATATCACTGGTAGTATGGATTACCATAATCTCTCGTGGGGATACTTACCCTATCCTTTCCTTTCTCCTGGAAAAACCATCATACCCCTTGCCTAGTTAAAAACATTCAATACTGCATCATTGTCTTTAGGACAAACCCACTACCGCGGTTTCCAAATGCCTTTCTGATACAGCATCTTAATCTCTCCCCACTTCCTCTGCTCATCCATCCATACTTGACTGCTTCCCCATTGAGATGCCATCCCTCCTCAACTTTCACTCTTCCTCTGCCCGAAAAGGCTCTTCTCTTCCAACCCCCTCCTGTCCGTTCCCTTCCCCATCTAATTCCCCCAGTCTCACCCTAGGGGTCCTCAAGGAAGCCTTCCTGACCTCCCTACACTAAGGAGGCGCCCCTTCGATGGAGCACGTATTAGCCTTACAAGGCATCCCTGTTTTCTTCCAGGACCACTTCTTTTTTGTTCACTTCAGTTCCCGAGCATTCCAGGACGGTGCTAGGTACACAAGGTCACTCAAGAGGTGTTTGTAGAATGAGTAAATTAATGAATAAATCTTGAACCAAACACCCTGGAGTTTCCACTACATGTATGGCCTGCATAAATTGTTAATGTAAATTTAACTGATCAAATGAGCTAAAGTGTGTGTAGTACTTGGGAAATTTCCTCTCCGAGAGTCCGTCCAGGTAAGCTTGCCCGCTTTACCTCCCGCAGGCCGCAGGGGCGGTGCCTCGGGGGGCGCATGGGAGCGCTCGAGCGGAAGGCGGGGCCTCCTGGGCAGTGGTCACGCCCCAAGGCGGGGCTATTCCGGGGCGACGAAGGGCGGGGCTCACGGGCGGGGAACTATCCTTCCGAGGCCGAAGCACGTCCGCGTGTGCCGGGGGCGCGGTGGTGGGGTCGTGGGTCCCAGCCGGGTGGCCTAGGTTACTGACCGCGCCGCCGCGGCCGCCATCTTGCCCGCGCCCGGACTCCCGCGGCGGGAGGGGCGGTGACCAAGCCGGAAGTGGCTGTGCGGTGGCCGCGCTACCTCATCAGGTCAGTGAGCGCGGCTCGGGCCGCGCGTCTCAGCACCTCCGACGGAGGCCCGGGTAGTGGGCTCGGGAGTGCCGGGGCCGCCGCGAGGGGCCCGGGAAAGCCCGGTTGAAAGGCCCGGGCGGGGGCGCACCCGGGGGCCATCTCGGAGCCGAGGCGCAGGGCGTCGCGTTCTGCGCTGCGGGATAACCGCGCCGGGCGGCCGGCAGGGCCTAGCTGGGAGCCTCGGAGCTGCAGGAGGCCTCGGGGCGCGCTCGGACCTCGTCGGGGACGCTGGGGCCGCGCGCAGCGCGGCGAGTTCTTGCGGAACCGCGTCCTCGCGTTGGACCGGCGGCTCAGCCAGGTGTCTAGAGCGTGGGAGTGGCCCTCAGATTCCTGATTTACCCGGAATAGCAAGAGCCTCGCTTTGGTTGTACTTTATTAAATACTTCCTAAAGGGCCTGTCACCCGGTTGGTTAGCTGTGTTCTGTGCTTGTATGAGTAGTGAAAATTCCGTAAGAGGATGAATAAAGCCTTTCACGTGTGCCACGAGCAGTGCTAAAATGATTTGCAGATGCCGGCATTACAGGCCCTTTGTATAACTATATTTTAAGGGAAATTTGTGTAGTGCATCTCCTTGAAGATGGTGAGGGTGAAACTTCCTGAAACTGCTGCTGTTGTTATTTGTTACGGTAAGAAGAGTAGAAGACAACAAAAGGATGTGAGAGGATAGTTGGATACTTTGTACACTTAGTATTGTGGATCTTCACTGTCCAGTAGCCACACAGAGTTGAGATGTGCTCTGAGTGTAAGATAAAATACCCATTGGATTTACAGGACTTGACGCCCCCCTCCCAAACAGACAAAAAAAAATTGAATAGTTTTTTAGTTTGATTGCATGTTGGAAAGGGATTTTTTTTTTTTTAATGTTGGGGAGAATAAAATATATTAATTTCATCTCTTTATACTTTTTCAGTGTGGCTACTAGAAACTTAAATCCTGTGGCTAACACTGTATTTCTGTCGGATAGTGCTGTTTACAGATGTTATGGTGAAGAATACAGGATCAGCATGGCTTTCCTGTGCTCAAAACCATTGAGGGGAAGTGAACGCTTGTAAAACTTGAAGGTGAAGATGTTAACATAAGCTGTAATTATTGCAGATTTCACCCCTTCCCCTCCCACTTTTCAGTGTTTCCAACACTTGAAAACATTAACTTCAGGGTTGTGGAAGAAAATCATAGTGATACTAACAGCTGTGTGATATGAAGAACTCAGTTTGTCACAACTTTGTGACATGAAGGTAGGGTGTGTTCTATCTCTTACAGTCTTGGTGTATTAAAGGACTTGTTAGTGTTTAGCCAGTGCGTGGCTGGAGGTCCCCTGACTCCAGGTTCAGTTCTCTTTGCTCTTCACCTTATTCCTAGTCATCTACGTTCATGAGCCAGGATCCATCTATACCATGTGTTGGATTGTTAAAAAAAACATATTTCTTAAAAGGGTGGTTATGGATATATCTCTAGGTTGTTAATACAACCTATGTAGTCACATATGACCCGTTGTTTAGAAGGGCTGGAACTTGGTTTAATGTTCTTTGTCACCACCTTGAATTCTTAATGATTTTTCAGTAAGAGGGCCTTGTTATTTTCATTTTGCACTAGGCCCTGCAAATGATGTAGTTGATTTTTTTCTTATACAGTGATCTGGGATGGGCGTTGGGAGGTTTTGGACAAGAACCAAAACGACTGGTCTTCACTTTACTCCAGTGTGAAATGAGAGGGGTTTGCCAGTCTAACTCTCAAGTTTTGTACAAAAATTACTGTAATCAGATTTTATGGATATGAAACATTTTATGGATATAAACGTTGTACATGCATACTTACATCAGAAGAAATACTGATGGTCCTCTCTTGAGAGTCATGCAAATCAGAGTTTTTTAAATTATAGTAACACTTTCTATTTTGTGTGTTTCTTTTAATTTTTTTTTTTAATGTTTACTTATTTTTGAGAGAGAGAGAGACAGAGTGCGTGTGGGGGAGGGGCAGAGAGAGAGGGAGACACAGAATCTAAAGCAGGCTTCAGGCTCTGAGCTGTCAACATGGAGTCTGATGTGGGGCTGGAACTCATAAACTGCTAGTTCATGAACTGAGCCAAAGTTGGATGCTTAAGTAACTGAGCCACCCAGGCACCCTCTGTGTTTTTTAAGGTGGATTTTTCAGTTTGCCACCAAGTTTTCTTACAGATCATCCATGTAAAGAATATGATTATGGGATGGAAGTCCAGATTGAAAGTGTGCTTAATAGAAGCACACTTTGAAAGTCCTATTGATAAGATAGGAAGATAGGCTAGATCACCAGATACCTCCAGTTAAGAGGTTTCCTCTGTCCGTACAGGCATGAGTGTGAACCCTTACTTGGTAGTATCTGTTCCTGCTTTCTGTTGTCTTACCTACGTCCTACTGCAGCTACGTCCTAGTACATCCTAACTTCAGCTCTAGAACGCAGGCATTATTAGACCTTTATTAGTCTGCTTGGGCTGCCATAACAAAAGCCTCTAGACTAGATGGCTTAAACAACAGAAATTTATTTTCTTACAGTGCTCACAGGTTGGAGTCTGAAATCAGGGTGCCAGGTCTAGTTTTGGTGAGAGTTCTTTTCTTGGCTCACAGATAGCTGCCTTCTCACTGTGTCCTTCTTACTGTGTCCTCACTGTGTCTTCACATGGTAGGGAGAGAGCTCTATAGCTCTCTCTCTCTTCTTGTAAGGGCACCAGTTCTATCAGTTTAGCACTCTACCCTTATGACCTCATTTCACTCTGATCACCCCCCTTAAAGGCTCTCTCTAATACTATCATATTGGGGATTAGGGCTTCAGTATGAATTTGGGGGAGAGGGCACAATTTAGTCCATAGCAATCAGAGAGTTTATCTGTCCCTGTTTACTACCATGTTAGCATTTAAAACAGTGTCTAGCACATACACTATGCCCAATAAAAATTTATAGAATAAATGAAAGGTATTAGAATGATCCTTTCTTAGGATCATTGTGGCTCACTGTGGGCTCTTGCCCATCATTGGAACCAGTTATGACAGTGGGCACTTTGCTCTTGCCTGGAGCCAGTCTCTACTAGGAAGAGTACAGGAAGAAACATGAGGAGATTGGTAAAACTTGGATATAACAGTGTGGGAAATGTCAGATGGAGCATTTAACAAATGCATTCATTTAACAAATAATTGTTAAGTATCTACTAAGTGCCTGGCACTGGGCTGGGTATCAGAGGTACAAATAGAAAGCAAAAGGTACTTTTCCTGCTCTTATGGAGCTTATAATTTAGTAGGAGAGACAGGGTGATTTAAAGGGAAGGAATACTATTCACTGAGAGTACATAACTAAGTAACCTGACAGACTAGGGAGGGGCTAGAGGATGTTTGATGTCAACCATGATGGTTGAGAGATGGTCAAGCAGGTGTTAACTTGACCAAGAAGGGAGGGAAGAATGTTCTAACAAGAGGGAACGGCATTTGCAAGAGTGGTGATGGGGGGGTGATGAGGGGAGGGCACAGAGGGAGGTTATAATCTAGGAACTGAAAAGAAGACCATGTCGCCAGAACACAGCAAGGAGGAAAATGGTGTGCCTTGAGGCCAAAGCAGTAGGTAGAGGCCAAAAGATTTAGGACTTTATAGGTTATATTGAAGATTTTGGAACTCTGTACTGAGAACAATTGGAAACCATTAGAGGGTTTTAAGCAGAGATTGTATAACCTGGTTAAGTTTGCATTTTAGAAAGGTCCCTGTGATATTACATAAAGATGAATTTCATAAAGGCCTGAGTATACAGATAAGTAAAAGAATTGCAGAATCAGCACCATAGGCCAGACATGTTGTATACCTTAATTTCTGTGGAAACTGTCCTTAAGCTGTGAAACTTGGCAGCCTGAGTGGAGGAGAGAAGAATAAGGGTTGATCAAGGTTAGGGGAAGACAAGCCTAAAATGGCAAGGAAATGAAGAAATTGAGGGTCTGTCTCGTAAGAATATAATTGAAATGATTGATATTGAGCTTCAGAACCCGAAGAAAGGAAATAAGCCAGTATAAGTATTCTTAGTGGATTTTTCATTTAAATTGTATGAGTCTGTTGAATTCTGGACTAATAGTTCCTGACTAAAAGTTTTACAAGATCAAAAAGTAAAGCAAGTATGTTTGAGCTGAATTTATTTAGTTTATCTATATTAGGAGTCTGTGCCAGGTTCTCTATCTGGTATAGGGGATGAATGAACGAACCATAGCTTTACCTTTTAAGAACTGACACTATAGGGGCACCTGGGTGGCTCTGTTGGTTAAGCATTGGACTCTTGGTTTCAGCTCGTGATCTCATGGTTTGTGAGTTGGAACCCCAGAGCTCTGCGCTAACAGCACGAAGCTTGCTTAGGATTCTCTGTCTCCCTCTCTCTGCTCCTCCCCCTCCAAGAATAAGTAAAAGTTAAAAACAAAACAAAACAAAACCTATTAAAAAAAAAACTGAGAACATGGTTGTGCAGATACCATTTGCCATAAAGGTACTAAATGTCTTTGTTCCTTTTTTTTTTAAATTTTTTTTAATGTTTATTCATTTTTGAAAGAGACAGAGCACAAGCAGGGGTGGGGTGGACCCAGAATCTGAAGGGGGACACAGAATCTGAAGCAGGCTCCAGGCTCTGAGCTGTCAGCACAGAGCCCGATGCGGGGCTCGAACTCATGAACCGGGAGATCATGACCTGAGCCAAAGTAGGATGCTCATCCGACTGAGCCACCCAGGCGCCCCATGTTCCTTTTTAATCCACACTATAGTCTCTAGCGAGAATTGGTTAAAAACAGACATTTACATTTTTGTTAGGTAGCTTTTGTTTTTAAAATAACATTTTAACATAGTTATTTTTTAGTTTGTGCTTAAATGACTGTCATATTTATCTTTTCAAAATCCCAAGTCAATATTAATCAAAATGTATAGAATTGAAATCTGAAAGAGCTTTTAATGATCACTTAATTCAGTTTTTCTCAAATGCAGTGTGTACTGCTGGTTGTAAACAGGATGATTTTAGGTAAAACATAAGCATTTTTAAAAAATTCCAGTATAGTTAACATATTAAGCATTTTATTTTTTTTTAATTTTATTTATTTTATTTTATTTTTTTTAATTTTTTTTTTTCAACGTTTATTTATTTTTGGGACAGGGAGAGACAGAGCATGAACGGGGGAGGGTCAGAGAGAGAGGGAGACACAGAATCGGAAACAGGCTCCAGGCTCTGAGCCATCAGCCCAGCGCCCGACGGGGGGCTCGAACTCACGGACTGCAAGATCGTGACCTGGCTGAAGTCGGACGCTTAACCGACTGCGCCACCCAGGCGCCCCTATTAAGCATTTTAATAGTTATACATTTCAATGTATATTAGAAAAATACATTAGCATACCATGCCCATGATCCATGGATTTTATGATAGGTTAAAACAGATTTTCTGATTTTAAAAATAGTCAATATAAATAAAAATATTAAATAAAAATAGATGGTATGTGAATGAAATTTGGCAAACACTAAACCAACTCTTTGGTTGTATAGACGAAAAAACAAAAGGACCCGCAGTCACAAAGGCCTTTCCCAGGCGTATAGCTAATATACGTCAGGGGTGGGAATAAAAGTCAGCTCTGCTCAATACATGCTGCTATTTATTCTGCCATATAGAGCTGCTTGTTATTGTTGAACCTTGAGAAAGAGACCTCTGTCTTTGTAGTGGCATTGTATTTTAAATCTTCATTGTCTATTATGCTGGCAACCTGTGGCTATTTATTAAAAATTAGTTGGGGCGCCTGGGTGGCGCAGTTGGTTAAGTGTCCGACTTCAGCCAGGTCACGATCTCGCGGTCCGTGAGTTCGAGCCCCGCGTCGGGCTCTGGGCTGATGGCTCAGAGCCTGGAGCCTGTTTCCGATTCTGTGTCTCCCTCTCTCTCTGCCCCTCCCCCGTTCATGCTCTGTCTCTCTCTGTCCCAAAAATAAATAAAAACGTTGAAAAAAAAAATTAAAAAAATAAAATCTTTAAAAAAAAATAGTTAAAGGTAAATAAGATTTAAAAATTGTACTAGTCACATTTTTAGTGCTTGGTAGCCACATGTTGCTAGTAGCTACCCTATTGGACAGCAGTATAGCTAGAGAACATTTCTGTCACTGCGGAAAGTTCTGTTGGATAGTGTTGCTCTAAACTGTTGCTTAAGAACATGATTCATAATTCTTTAAAGTTTTACCCCCTTCAAAGGGATGATGCTTATTAATTTGCTCACCATGCTGAAGTTATATTAATTCTGAGGTTAATGACGTTAGTAGTCACAGTGCAATTAAAATACTTGATCATGGGAAAAAAGGCCAAAATGTAGTTCTCAGAATCTTACCACCTCATTTTATTGGGAGAAGTTCTTTTTCCTTATTTCTTCCTTCCTTCTTTCCTCCCCTTCCCCTTCCCTTCAAGCAGGGGAGAATGGCAGGGGGACAGAGAGAATCCCAAGCAGGCTCCACACCCAGCACGGAGCCCAACATGGGGCTCAAGCCCACGATCCTGGGATCATGACCTGAGCCTAGATTAAGAGTCAGACACTCAACTGACTGAGTCACCCAGGCACCCTTCTTTTTCCCTCTTTAATTAATAAATATGGTCATGAATTCCTAGCAGTTGGAAGAAATATATTGAGAAACAGAGTACCTATATAGAGAATTTCCTGACTTTCCAAATAGCTTATTCATCTTAGATTTGTATTTTGTTAACATTTTAAAACTTTTTATTTTTAAACAGATTTTCAGTGAATGGACCTGACTGGACTACTTGAGCACATCACTAAACATGAGCGGTACCAAACCTGATATATTGTGGGCACCACACCAGGTTGATAGATTTGTTGTGTGTGACTCAGAACTGAGCCTATATCACGTGGAATCTACTGTGAATTCAGAACTCAAAGCTGGATCTTTACGTTTATCTGAAGACTCTGCAGCTACATTACTATCAATAAATTCAGATACACCATATATGAAATGTGTTGCCTGGTATCTCAATTATGATCCTGAATGCCTCCTAGCAGTTGGACAAGCAAATGGTCGAGTTGTACTTACAAGTCTTGGTCAGGATCATAACTCAAAATTCAGAGATTTGATAGGAAAAGAATTTGTCCCAAAACATGCCCGACAATGCAATACCCTTGCATGGAATCCATTGGATAGTAACTGGCTTGCTGCTGGGCTAGATAAACATAGAGCTGATTTTTCGGTGCTGATTTGGGATATTTGCAGCAAATATACACCTGACATAGTTCCCATGGAGAAAGTGAGACTTTCAGCAGGTGAAACTGAAACAACATTATTGGTAACAAAACCTCTTTATGAATTGGGACAGAATGATGCTTGTCTGTCTCTTTGTTGGCTTCCACGAGACCAGAAACTTCTCCTTGCTGGTATGCATCGTAACCTAGCCATATTTGATCTTCGGAATACGAGCCAAAAGATGTTTGTAAATACAAAAGCTGTTCAGGGGGTGACAGTAGACCCATACTTCCACGATCGTGTTGCTTCCTTCTATGAAGGTCAGGTTGCAATATGGGATCTAAGGAAATTTGAGAAGCCAGTTTTGACTTTGACTGAGCAGCCAAAGCCCTTAACAAAAGTAGCATGGTGTCCAACTAGGACTGGTCTGCTTGCCACTTTGACAAGGGATAGTAATATTATTAGATTATATGATATGCAGCACACACCCACTCCCATTGGAGATGAAACTGAGCCCACAATAATTGAAAGAAGTGTGCAACCTTGTGACAATTACATTGCTTCCTTTGCTTGGCATCCAACGAGTCAAAATCGAATGATAGTTGTAACTCCCAACCGAACAATGTCTGATTTCACTGTTTTTGAAAGGATATCTCTTGCCTGGAGCCCAATAACATCTTTAATGTGGGCTTGTGGCCGTCATTTGTATGAATGTGCAGAAGAAGAAAATGATAATTCTTTAGAAAAAGATATAGCAACGAAGATGCGCCTTCGGGCTTTATCCAGGTATGGACTTGATACAGAACAGGTGTGGAGAAACCATATTTTAGCTGGAAATGAAGATCCACAGCTCAAGTCACTCTGGTATACTCTGCACTATATCCTTTTCATTGTGAATTTCATGAGCTGAATCAGGTAGAAATGTTCTGAAAGTTTGCTGAAAAGTCAGCCTTTAAATTTTATTCTGAATGTTTTATATGCAAATACGAGTTACATAATGCTAAAATTACAGAGTAAAATTATTTAAAACTTGAGCTTGAAATACTGCTTTATAGATTGTAGAGAAAGAAGAAAAAAACATATCTATGATAAAGTAGAACTATCACTGATGCCTATTATGAATTGGCTCCATATCAAAATAAATTCAGCTCTGACGTATTTTATTATACATCATCATTAGTATTTCCTATGCGTTTAAATACTTATGAAGCAGTATACAGAAGATATGGATCAGAAATCTCCAGGAAACAAAGGATCATTGGTTTATGCAGGAATTAAATCAATTGTAAAATCCTCTTTGGGTAAGAAAATTCAATTTTATTTTTTAAAGTTTTATAATTTTTGTACTCTATTTTCTACTTTTTCCTCGTTAGTTACTTCAGAATAGTATGCATACATACTTTGTTTTTTATTTTTTGTTGGGGGGGTTTCTGATTAGATATTTTAGTTGAGTTAAATGCATAATTGTTTTTATATCCAGAATTCTTTTTGGAGGGAGTCTTATTTCTTTCAAGTGATACTGTCTTTCTAAATCTATTCATTTATCCCATGTTATTTTTTGAAGATCCTGAGAGGTATTACATCCGATGACTTACAGGGTCATGGTGGTTGGTTTGGATTTTATCACAGTATTTTGCTTCTGTAAAAACTAAATAAAAAGATGTATAATTGAAGGAGTTCCCTTTTAATTCCGCTGTCCAAACACTTTGTCTTAGCTATCTATGGCAAGATCTAAGTAACTATGTCAGGAAGTGTGGCCTTGCCTGAAGGAGCCTTACCTGAAAGAATCCTTGATAATTAAATTAATGTATGAATTAATACAGGGTTGAAATTGATCAACTATTTAAGAATAAGATAAAGATGACAAAAGAGCCAAACTTACCTTTTCATTGAGCCGTTGTTCTTACTGTTTTTTATTGGAATTGAATTGTGCATTTTACTATGGTACTTCCCCCGACCTAGTATTCAGTATCTAGCTTTTTTTTTTTTTTTTTAATTTTTTTTTCAACGTTTTTTATTTATTTTTGGGACAGAGAGAGACAGAGCATGAACGGGGGAGGGGCAGAGAGAGAGGGAGACACAGAATCGGAAACAGGCTCCAGGCTCCGAGCCATCAGCCCAGAGCCCGACGCGGGGCTCGAACTCACGGACCGCGAGATCGTGACCTGGCTGAAGTCGGACGCTTAACCGACTGCGCCACCCAGGCGCCCCTTCAGTATCTAGCTTTTGATGGCAGTCAAATTTGGGCCACAAAGTCAGGCTGCTCGAAAAGTAGTTTATACTATTAGTCAAAGAGTGGCAGTTCAAATAATAAGTTCAACTTGGTCTTTAATAGGGTTTTCATAAATACTGTACAAATAATACCAAATAAAATATTATTTTTTAATAAGAATAGGTTAAGCATTTTAACTAAACTGTTATATTATTAAAAAGAAGCTTAAAGGACTTTCACGTTACTTTGTTCCACATTGCTGAACATGCAATAGACTATTATCTGATCAGTTCCGTTTTGGTATTTTCTCACTAGCTTTCCACCAAAAAACTAACTTTTTAAATTTCTTTTTTTATTTAAAAAAAAAATTTTTTTTAAATGTTTATTTTTTGAGAGGGAGATTGACAGAGTGTGAGCAGGGGAGGGGCAAAGAGAGAAGGAGACACAGAATCAGAAGGAGGCTGCAGGCTCTGAGCTGTCAGCACAGAGCCTGACATGGGACTTGAATCCACAAAATGTGAGATCATGACCTGAGCCCA